CATTTTTGCAATGTTCCTTTCTCCCCCTGGTACTACACAGACAAAAAAGCTAAATGAGCGTGATTTGGATTCTATTGTACATGTTGCATTATCAACAGAGTTATTTTCTATGTTCCACTCAGTCCTGCCTGTGCAAACCCATTTAAAACAGACGGTTGAATGAACTCTTTTAAATTCAGCCCTTGCAGTTGAGATTGCTTATCTGCAATTCACACAAAACCACAATTATTATGGAATTGGTTAAGATACAAAGACAGAATCCCAGAATGGCAGTTTTAGAGTCACTTTTCACAGTAGAACTGCAGCTTAAGTGGTTTTTCCTGAAGTGATAAAACACACTGATTAGTATTGCCCAATTAAGATCCAATTAGATGAAAAAAGTACCAAAAATTGATGAAGGTCACAGTGAATACTTTATCCCCAAGACAAGTTTAAATAAAGATGCTTTATAATGGCAGAGAAAAGGTTATTTGTTTTATTTATTTTTATGATATTCAGTAATTCATTACACATCTGTCTTGTGACATCTCTTAATGTCAAAGCAGCCTTCAAATTATTAATTTGTCAGGAGGCTACAACAGCTAAGAAACTTTAATTCAATAAAAAAGCCAGTTTATTCTTTGGTAATTTTCTCTGATTTTATAGTAAGAAAGTGGCTTAGTATTGTCAGTCACTAGTTGGAAGTAAAATATCAACTATTTAAAATTTATTATTTTTTTTTTTTAATAAATAAGGAGAGAGAATGCCTACTCAGATTTTAGCTAACCTTTATAGATTTTTTCTTTTTATATCAGAGGATTAGTTTAATTTTCAGCTCTTTTATAAAATGGATTATAGTGCAAAATCCATTCATGTTAACTTTAGTTTTGTTCTAGGATCTTTTTTTCTGGTCTAGATTAATTAAAATAATTATGCATATGATTCTATTTATTTCCATAACAACCTATATCCATGCGTTTAGGGAGAGACACAAACATACAAACACATTCATATATACGTATATGAATACACATCTAAATAATGTATTTATAGTATATATATTAGTAACATCAACTTTTAAAAAGGCTATTAAATTATTTTCTCTTTTACATAAAGAATAAACATTGTTCTTCAGATTTGATTTAATTTTATGTATTTATTTTCCCACTTTTGAGGCTTAGTTTAAATTTACACATAAACACACACAGGGTGTAAGAGTTTAAACAGTTAACTGATATGCATCAGCTTATTGATTTCCATTACAGTTCAATGCCAGCTCCCATCCCCACTCCCAGGGAGCCAGCTGCTGCTCTGTGCTGCAAACTATGCAGTATAACATAACTCAACAGTTATGTTTCTCTCACCAACAGAAGTTGGTCCAAGGAAAGATAATTACCTCACCCACCCTGTGTCTCTAAAAATCTTGCAATGATATTTTCAATTATCAAAGCAGTTGGCAGTGGTAGCTATTGGACAGATTTCAGGAGCTTCTCAGAGAGTGAACCATGTTGTCAAATCACCACTTTATTGCCTGGTGATATATTATAGAATTCTTTTGTACCTGTCTATTGAATAGAGATGGTCAACATTTTTCTATGGAAAAACTATATTTCTATCAAAAAATGTGGACTTGCAATAATCAAAATATTTTGCTGAAACATCAGTTTCATTTACATTTTCATGGGAATGAATCAAAACATTTTATATTGATAATGATAGTTAAAACATTTAGATTACTCTATTCTATGTTATTTTAAAAGTCAAAATGATAAAGTTGAAATGGAATGATTCATTACAATTGTCAGAAATATTTTGGAATGTTTTTGTTTAAAAAATCAGAGATACTGAATTTTCATCAGAATTTTAAACAAAATCAAATTTACCAGCCAGCTCTACTTTTAATACAATGGCTGTTTAACAGCCTCTCTCTCCTGACCTTGATCATAGAGGTCACTGAATTCATGGATAATTTGCAATGAATAAATCAAAACATGAAGACAGTGACATGCTGGTGAAGGGAGTCTTGGTCCAGGCCCATGGACTGTGACCTAAGGAATTTATAAAGATTTGTGCTTTGGCTGTGCAGGAGACAAAGAAAATAACTGTAACAGCCCTCTGAGCTAAGGCTAAGCTTTTGTCATGGTTATTTTTAGTAAAATTCACGGGCAGGTCACGGGCAATAAATAAAAATTCATGGAAGCCTGGAACCTGTCCCTGGCTTTTACTAAAAATAACTGTGAAAACGGGAAGGAGGGGGTCCAGCACCTAACCCTGCTAGGACTCCAGATTCACCCCCACCAATGCCTGAAGTGGTTTAGAGTGGGTGGAGGAACCATGAGCTCATCTGCACAGGCTCAGAGCTCTACAATCTGCCCACGCATGTTTGGATCTGGAAGGTCTGCCTCATCACCTTCAGTGGCTAGGTGCTGTGGGGTGCCTTGCTAATTGACAGCTCCAGTCCCACTACCCTGGAGCTGAAGCAGAAAATACCACGGAGGTCTCTGGAAGTCACAAATTCCATGACCTCTGTGATGTATCTTGGCCTTAGTCACAGCATCTACAAAGTCATACCCCAGTGGTGGATAACTTGGTTAATGAGACGATGAATAACTGTAAATTTAATAGAGATTTTATCTGTGAGGAATTTTCAGGTTACTTAGAGGATAACATCTCTTGAATTGACAGTTTACAAGGTTCCTAAGTGCTGGTAAATTCCTGGGGGGACAAAAAGGAGCCAAGCTGTCTCTGTTCAAGTATTGCCCAATGTTACTCAATGACCTTTAAATACTGTGTGCGCTTCATTGTACTCATATTCCTCCTTGCCTTTTAATGAAGCTTTCAAACTTAGCAAGACACAAAAACGTCCTTTGTAAAAACACCTGATCTTTGCACCTCACTAATGTCCTTAATAACAAATACACAAAATACCAAAGACCTGATGACAACAAAGCTTCAAGCAATATCAAACTCAGCTCGAAATCTTAGAATTTTTAAGTAACTAAAGTTTTGTGATATCATCTTAGAAGTATTTTCAAAATGTGTTGACAACAAATGATTGGATGTCTGAGCAATCAGGATTAATTCCTTCTCAACTCAGTGGATGTCTGACTGAGGCTAGATTGTGCATAGTGTTACTCCTCCAAGGCAGGGAACTGCTCATTTGTGTCTCTGGAAGCACACAAATTGGAGAAATCTATCATGGATAGCAGTATTAATTTCCACCTGTCTGGAGTGAGCTCCTTTAGCTGAGTCTGAGGATTAGCCAGGCCATCCTCTATGCAAATTAATGAGATCCACTAGGTTGCATTAGGACCGCTGGATATGCTGGTCTGCCTGATTGTCTGAAAGATGCCAGCAGGCCTGTTTTTAAGCTCAGCTGCAGCTGCATTTACTCCTATCCCTGCCTTATTTCAACCATTGCATTCTATCTTTATGACTGTCCTGTTTCAATCTGCTACAGTTTTGCTTCCTTTTGCTTCCTTCTCCAACCCTAGGCTCAACATCTGGCTCATGACTCTTGGCTCCCAACTCCTGCTCCAACCAATAGTCCCGTTTGTGACACCACGAAAGAAAGCTATAGGGGAAATATGACAATCTTAGAATTTGATTGACAGAACTAAGGGGCTATTACTCTAATCCTCAACCACAATGACCACCAGATCTAGACCAGCAAAGGGAAATGTGTTCTGACCCCCATAAAAGGGCATAGCAAAGGCTGCCGGTCTTATGTTAGTGGAGGCATTGTGCCTTGATTAGGCACAGTGAATCTGAGAATGGCTGCCAGACTTTATTACCTCTTCAGGTATTCCATGCAACTCCAAATCTTGCCCTGATGCTGTCAGATCATTAGAACACAAACTGCGCTTCCTCTGTTTCATATAGCACATACACATCAATAGCATTAATCAAATAATGTATAGTAATAATAAATAAATATTGCTATTACTGACCTGAATTTTAACAATACTCTCTTTATAGATTTTATACATGAAGTGGGTCAGATCCTCAGCTGGTGCAAATTGGTCTCTCTCAATTGATTTGAAAGTAATAGGTCTACTAAAGGTTTTTTCCATTTTATGTGAGGTTTTCTTTGCAAAAGGATATCACAGTCAGGACATATTAAATGTGTCTTCAACAAGTATAATCTTAGTACTGCTCGTGTTAAATAAACCATGATGTATAGTATTTAATCATGCTATAACTGATTTAGGTGGAACTCTATGTCAAAATATTACCATTAGGTTTTAATGTGCATTGCAAATACTCACACTCCAAATACTCAGGGAGTGTTCTGTGAATCTTCTTCTCCTTAATATTCTAAACATTAACAATTAAAATGAAACCTTTTGGCAGAATAACTTTGGCTTTCATTGTCCTCAGTGTATCATTTGGTCACCAATGTTCATGAACCCCTGTGATTAGACAAATACATATTACCCACCAGAATAGCTAACAAGTCAAAATGTGCATAGTTCTGTCAATCAAATGCATCACTAGAGAACAGTGATAAAAAAAAACCAGTGGCAGAAATAAACTTTATCCCCAGATCAACCAAGCTCAGTTCAAATACTGCATTTCCAGAAAGGGCTACTGATGAACTGGGCTGTTTTGTAGAACACTAGTATGTCATATAGATTGGAAACTCACAATGACTGCAAATCAAGGAAATGACAAGCTTGCAAAGTTGTATTTTGTTTTCTTTTTAAGCCACAGAACTCTTTGAAATGCAGACGGTCATGGGTTTGCTTCATGCCTATTCTTTTTATCGTCTATGCCATGGAGCCAATAACTTCTCATCAAAAAGAAGCTGTATCGTTGATTTGTCAGCCTTGGGTAAAATCATTTCAAATGCAGCCTATATCCATGATGACAAAGGACAGGCTGGGATAAAAAATTTATGAGCACTACTGCTGTGCAAGGCTCATAATAATCTCCTTTGTTGCTAGGAGGGTTAGGTCACATATGAGGGTTAAAGATTTTTCCCTCTTGGGTGAAGTGTTTTAACAAAATAATTTGCTTACCGGAGGATCCTGATCTTCAGCTGAAACTGTAGTGATAACAGTGCCCTTGATTGCATCGGGAGCAACCATTCCCCTGTAGAGAGCTTTGCTAAATACTGGGGAGTAATCATTCATATCCTGCAAAATATAATTAAGAGTTTAGTTTTCAAGTTGAAACAAGATTATGGACATAGCCACAATTGTTCTTTCTAGCTATACCCATTCACTCCCTTCCTATTAGAGAACCCATTTGCCACTGTCAACCTTTCCATACTCTCAATTATATTACTATCGTGCAAACCTGGCACCCAAGAGGAAGATGCCAAATTTTCTATACAATATTACTGTGTGAGGAGTCAACGTGAAATAATTCTACTTCAGAAAGCAGTCTGCCACCCATGTATGTAAAGCTTCCAGGGACCGCAGAGATTCTTATGACAGTTGCTTTTCAAGCCAAGTCTCACAATATGGCTTTGTGAATTTTCTAAACTGGATGAGCTTGCTCTTTCCTAAAAGTACTTTTTACACTATCTGTGACAGAATGAGAAGAAAAAACAGAACCAGCTTACTATAAACACCGTATGAGAGCTGAAAATACGCTTTTCAAAGTGACGTGTTATGAAGGAAAAATTTCTATTACGGTATATTACATTTTTTTAAACAAAGGTAACATATTAACAGAGGCAATAAAAAGAAAATAATACAAAGCAAAGTTCAACTATAACTGGTTGAAAAACAATTAACAGCCCTATCCGGGGCCAAATGCAGTTCAAAGCTTCTCTCCAGTAATACTGTAAATCATTATTAGAAAAAAGTCATTTATCACCTAGTGTGGTCCATCCTGAAATAAGTATTGTATCAATAACCCAATCAGGATCAAGGCCCATTAAATTTAGCTGCATGCAATTTAAAAAAAAATTGAACAAATGCAACTTTAAATTGCAGTTCTTTTATTTTTAATTCAACTATTGTTTTTTCTTTATATCTATATTTAATAATTTGTATGGCATTAGTAACAGATTTATACTTTTTGCACTTGTAAGTAAAACAGATGAGTAAAGCTTTTTAAAAAATGCATGTGTGACTTTTAAAAACAGCAAAATCAAAGAGGGAATACATGGAAATGGACACCCAGAAAAAATGCCAAGGTGTGAAAGATGTATTTTTAATTAGGCTGCAACTTTATTAATTCATTTGGGAATTATAAGGCAATAATGTGTACAGTGATGTATCTTGGCCTTAGTAAAGTGCAAATCCTTATTCCCTCTTCACTCAATTCTAGCTATTTGTGGAAAGCTGCCATCAGCCTCCCCTGCAAATTCACCACGCTCCCCTCACATGAGGGCTCAGAAGCTGAGAAGAAGATTGTGAGGAGTTTCATTGCTATTTCCAGATGCTTTAGGGGATGCCTTCCCCCTCAATGTACTTCCAATTCAAGTTTTTCCAGGGAATCGGATACCTATAAAACAAATACTTACACTGGAGCCTGCCATTAGTTTGGCTGCCACTCCCCAACCAAGCTCCCAAATACTTAACATTTCATCCATCTGTACACTAATCATTTCAGATGGCCATTTCTTGGCTGCTCCTCTTGCCAAGCCAACGTGGGTTTGCCTCAACACCAAAGATCCAGCTGCAAGCCTCTAATGGAACTGGCTGCCCAAACTATGGGCCCATAGTTCCAAATATTGATTCTTCCCTTGCTCCTCAACCATGTCAACTCAGATTAACCTTAATGATGAGCCCCAAGCTGGGGCCAGGCATGTGTGTGGAAGGGTGTGTGTGTATAGGGCCATGTGTTCCTCAAAACAGTATATATGGGAGGGGAAGGATCCAGCAGGTGCACAGAGCCATCCTGTCCATTGGATGGTTCAGGGCAACTGTCCTTGGCCCCATGCTTTGGTGGACCCTGTGGGGGCCAGGGCTGCCCAGAGGACCAGCAACCAGAAACTGGGCCTGCCCCCTGCACTCACCAGCAGGAAGCAGAGTGCCCCAGCCCCAGCCCCAGCCCCAGCCCATCCACCCCAACCCCAGTGCTCATTGATGGCAGGAAGAAGTGTGATGTGGCTCAGAGCTGGGGAGTGGCCTGAGGCCAGGTTGCTTCACTTACTACTGATGTCAGTGAGTGGAGGGGAGGGGTCTGACCCCTGCTGCTGCTGCCAGGTGGCCCACTATTCCCCTGGACCACTATAGTCGGGAGCAGGGACTGGGGGGAGGAGGTTGTGTGGGCGGACAGAACAGGAGCAGGAAAAGGCAGGGAGGGAATGGAGCATGGTTTGGGAGAAGTAGCTGAGTGAAAGCAGGGACTTGGGGGAATGGTGGAGTGGGGGCAAGGGCAGGAAGAGATGGGGTCTAGGGGTGTGTCTCAGGATCCACACCCTCCTAAGTACAGCACTGGGAGGAGCCAGGTGGAAATTTGGTTATATGACCAGTTCCCCCCCCCCCACATACACACACTTGTGTCCATCCTCAGCAGTGGCAGATTGGCCCAGCTGTCAATTTTAAGAGGGAACTGGTCCCTTGCTTGTGGGTCAAATGTGAGACAGAGCTCTGCTGGACAGATCAAGGTATAAACAGATACATCTGTGGTTTGCAAACTGTGGGTTGCAACCCCATTTTCATAGGCTCTCCAGGGCTGGCTTTGACCAGCCAGTCTGGGGCTGAAGCCCAAGCTCCACCACCTGGGGCCAAAGCTGAAGCTCTTGGGCTTCAACCCTGGTTCCACCTGGCCAGTGTAGTGTGGCTCAGGATTTGGCCACTCAGGGCAGTGGGGCTCAGACAAGTCGAAGCTTTGGTCCCCTTTCCTGGGGTCATGCAGTAATTTTTGTTGCCACAAGGAGGTTGCTTTGCAAGGACGTTTGTTGACCCCTGGATATGTAAACTCTCCCTGCTGATCCACATGGGGCCCAATTGCTCACAAAAGCCCTTGTAATCAGTATCCAGTTTAGGTGATGCCTAACTTCCCTTTTGCCCCCTCACCACTAGACCACTGTGGAGCAGCTGCAGCTAATCAGAAAATGCGGAAAGTAGGCTCTGCAGTCATAGCTTCACTTGACTTGCAGAAATTGGGATATCTAGGGCACATTTCTCAAAGCTTGTGTGAAGAGCAGGGAGTTGATGCATTCCAAGATCTCACGGGAATCCTCCAGAGAGATCTCCAATATACTGTTTCTTGATTAATAAAGGCAAAGTTTTAATAGTGGCAATAATCTTTATTTTGATTTCTACAAATTCACATTGCAATCATTATGAATACATGTACAAGAATTATAATCATTTTCTTACTGGGATATGCAGTCCCAAATGTCAACGTAGCTCCCTAGGATAAATATATGGAATGAACCAGTAAAGCACCTGTGACTCAGATATTAATCACTTCTGCTTCCTGATAAAAGCTTCCCTGATTTCAATTGCTGCCCTCGGGGCTCCTCAGACAGCCCTGAGTATTTGCCTGCTCAAACTAAGAAGTAAGTGCTTTCCCTCAGTGCTCCGTCCCGGAGCAAACATTTCATTCCTAGCATCACAGAGATTGTGCAAATTACAACATGCAGCTATTGCCACAGGAATATTATTCTCAGTTAGGCCATAAAGGCCAGTGTGCCTTTAATTTACCAAAGGCATATTTAACTATCATCCAGCATCTACTCAGCCTACTACTGAAATTTTCTTTATTTCTGTCTAGGTGTCTCTTCTAAGGTTTCATGAGCCAAAGTTGTAAGAGATTAGCTGGGTGTCCCAGGATCCCTCACTGTAATCCTGTTGTGTGTCATTTATCACCTCTCTATAGTTAGGAAAGCCGTCAATTATTTCATATCCATTTTTCAGAGTCAAGGTCCTGCATAGCAGGATGTGATTTATTGCTCTCCACGCTTGCATTACTGCAGACCCAACAATTGACTTCCACACCTCAGAATGATTTGTGACCAACTGGTAGCAGTCTGGAGTTGCCAGCCTCCACATAGTAATTGCACATACACTCCTCTACCAAGAGGGCAGCTGGCATTCTTGAAGACAATGCATGTGTAGTCTGGCCAGCTTTGCTACATAAGTTGCCATTGACATATGCCCTTTGGAATTGAAGGCATTGTATTGTTGAAACTTAAGGGCTATTTATGATGAATAGGGCCAGTAAGGCAAGTGCTTGAAACCAATACTGCGGAAGCCTGGCCTGAGCCTGAATAAAGTCCAAAGTTGCTCCTATTAATTCTAATTGTTGAGTGGGAGCCAGGTGAGATTTTTTGTTTGTTTATTTGAAATGCCCAGAGTGGTGAATAAATAGATTGTGTGATTTGTATGAAGTGTTGTCACTATTAGACAGTCATCCAGATAGGGAAAATCATTATTCTTTTTCTGTGGTGATCAACTGCCAATGACAGAATTGAAAATATTCTTGGGGCTGTCGCTAGCCCAAATAGTAGCACACAGTATTGGTAGTGCTGTTTTTGTAAATGGAAATGGCGAAATCTCTCTTGTGCAAGGTGAATTGTGGTATTAAAATAAACATCTTGTAGGTTGAGGGATGACAACCAATTTCCTTTTTCTAATGCCAGGATTATTTTTGCTAGTGTGACTATTGTGAAGTGTTGCTTCCTTAGGAATTTGTTTAGATGACATACATCTAAAATGAGCCTCCATCCCCCTGTCTTTTCTGGGATTAGAAAGTTGCAGGAATACAATGCCTTTCCCCTGTGTTGAGCAGGTTCCTGCTGTATGGCTCCAAGGTAGAGGAAGTTGTTCATCCTCTGTTGTAAGAGTATCTCATGGGAAACTTCTCTTCAGGGTTACAAAAGGGGGTTTGTGTGGGAGGGAAGATAGAAAGGAAATGGAGTAACAGTGTGAGATTATTTCCAGCACCCATCTGTCCACTGTAAAATGGGTCCAGGCTGGATAGAATTGAAGCAAACTATGGTAACTGTAATCCCGATGGGCAGGAGGTATTGAACCCTCAACCAATTCTTCATAACAACTGATATGATGTTGATGGTTAGGATGCCATAGGTTGGTCTTGATTTTGACTTCTGTGGGGCTGTTTCTGTTTGTTCCTCTGGTTGTCACCACTTTGTTGTGGAGTATATGTTGAGGGGTAGGAACATAGAAACGGCCCTGTTTCTTTTTGGGCAGGTACATAACTAGCGATT